TGATTGACAATATGACTCAATATACTTCTAGAGGGCGCTACCTACATATTTTTTAACTAGTTTGAAGAGTAATAACTTTTTGTCCGTTTCTGTATAAAACTACTGAGTATAAAATATTACGAAAATTTAAAACATTTACGACATTTTTTACGTAAAAAACCTCTCTTGGTAAAAATCGCTGCGAGTAATGGTTCTCGGAATATTTGGAATCGAAATTATTAATACCTGGTCATCATTGACATAAATTAAACATGTTGGCTAAATAGTTATTAGACTGAAATCATAAATTTGAAATGTTTTTGTGACAAAAGTTCCACGAAAACTGTTTTATCATCATTTTTTCGAAGAAAAACTTATTAATTAATTAAAGAAATAAAAAGTTCCCTTTTATCATTTCAGTCCAATAACTATCTACTCAACATGTTTATTTTTTGTGAATAATGACATGTATTGACTATTTCCATTCTAAATATCTTGAGAACGGTTGCTCGTAACGATTATTACCAAGATATATTTTTTACGTAAAAAATTACGGAAATGTATATTTTTTTATCCAGTAGTTCTATACAGGTACGGACGAAAAGTTATTACTCTTCAAAACAGTTGAACGTGTAGGTGGCGCCACCCTACAAATAAAAGTCATATTGACATCAAAATCAAATTTATCATGTCAAAAAACTCCAAGACACCAATTTTCATCGAAATATTGACGTTATTTCAGAAATTATTTGGAAAAAACGAAATAAAAATGAAACTTCTACAACCTGTAACTTCGAAACTAAGCATTTTAGGACATACATTTATACGAACTTTTTTACTTATTTTTATCTGCAGAATATGCTGTCGAAGTTTCCGGAATACAATTCGGACCACCCTGTATACTGTATAATATACTGTAACTGTGTACAAAAAATTTGATATTTTTCTGGTCATTGTAACTATTTTTGATACAAATAAAGACAATATACTATGATACTTATCTTTGCAGTATATGGCTAAGAACTTACTATATTCTTTAATTCTTTTTAAGAAAAAAATACAAATTTTAAATACATATACAAATTTAAAAACACTAAATCACCACAATACACCAAAACACTTTTACTTTTACACTGGACGCGCGTTTCGCTAACCATGTTAGCATCATCAGCAGATGATTATAAACTAGTTTCTCTTTCAGTTTATAATCATCTGCTGATGATGCTAACATGGTTAGCGAAACGCGCGTCCAGTGTAAAAGTAAAAGTGTTTTGGTGTATTGTGGTGATTTAGTGTTTTTATTTTGCTGTTTAACACCAAAGGTTCCAACCCTCAACTGTAATATACAAATTTAATAAATTGTAAGACTTTACCGACGCATGACGGGTATTAGCGTCTTAAGAAGTTCAAAACTGGTAACCTAGCAACCAAGTGGTTGATAAGTTACCAGCATACTCAGCGATCAACTTTTTCGCTATTTGAACAGTTTAATTTTTAATTTAAGTAACAACTATTGTTAACAGAGTTGTGAGCGCGTGAAAGTGTATGATCAGAAACCTGTCCTTTTTATTCCCCGGTATGTGATTTATTGTTAATATTTGGTAATAAGGTAAATATTTAATTATTAATTATTACATTTATTTTTTTAAATGACATCTACGAATCTGACAAATTCTATTAGTACGAGAGCTAGAAACGTCGGGAAAACAAGTATTTTAAGACGTCTGGCTCTTTGATATATCTTTTATTATGCTCTCTGGAAAAGCGCGCAGGCCGTCTGGCTGCCGATACACGTTGCGTTCACTACTGCGCATCCAAAGAAGATCCTCCATTTTTTACTTAGCGCTTTAAATTATAGTATTGAATAAAAACCCAGTAAGTCTCCATTAGCTCGGCGCGTAAGGCTTTCGCCTATGAAGCGAAGGTCAGTGGTTCGATACCGGCTGGGGGTGCAACTTTTTTATTTTTTTTTCGTTTATATTCTGGTAGTAAAGTAAAATATTTGCTGACACTAATATTAAATAAAAATATTTAATTCAATTATAATAATTAGATTGTAATGATTTAAACATAATGTCTAGAAATAAAACTAAAAATGTTGGCCCTAATTTTTTCTTGCCTCATTCATAAAAAATATTTAGTATTAAACAATATTTAATAATCATTTTAATAATACTTTTTTTTAACAGATTGTTATCTAAAAGCTACACAAGTTTATTTTCAGTTCAGTTTGTTAAGATAACGATGGAAAACAGAATTATCTGGTTAAATTAAATAAAATAAAATAATAATACTTTTTAAACAAGATTGATTAAAGTTGATGTATAGAAAATGCGCAAATCTATGGGTAGTATATTTAATTACATAAAAAACTAGCAAAGTAATGTAAAAAAAAACGCATCATTGTATCTCCACTCATAAACGAGAAATCCCAAAAAAAGCACGAAAATGAGACACCCTGTACCTATGTGATGCGCAGTAGTGAACGCAACCTACCGGCGCGGCAGTCAGACCGTCCTAAACCTATCTAATAATTAATTACCACAATAATCCTTCAAAACAAATAAAATTATCAAACTCTACTTATATACACTACGGATCATAAACCCATAAACGCCATCCGTTCTGGTGATAAAAAAAACAAATATTTAATACTTTACTATCAGAATATAAACGAAAAAAAAATAAAAAAAGTTGCACCCCCAGCCGGTATCGAACCACTGACCTTCGCTTCATAGGCGAAAGCTCTACGCGCCGAGCTAATGGAGACTTACTCGGTTTTTATTCAATACTATAATTTAATGCGCTAAGTAAAAAATAGAGGATCTTCTTTGGATGCGCAGTAGTGAACGCAACGTGTATCGACAGCCAGACGGCCTGCACGCTGTTCCAGGAAGCATAATAAATGATATATCAAAGAGCCAGACGTCTTAAAATACTTTCTCGAAAACGTTGCTAGCTCTTAGACTAACGAACAAACAAACAACGCTTTATTGTACAAAAAGCCAAAACAGCTTTAAGAAAGCACTCACAAACAACAAAATCACAAAAAAATACAAACAACAAAAAATACACAATACAAATAATACAATTCAAAAAAATTTAAGTCTTTAAAATTACAAAAAGAATATACATGGACAATTTTAGAACAGTACCCAGTAAATATATATAATTTTAGAGTTATAACATATTAAAGACTACATATAGATATATAATACTATATACAGATAGAATGTTTAGTTTTAGTATTTGCTTGATAAGGGGAAGTGGTATTAATAGGTAGGATTACATATGTGAAATGTGGTGAAAAATTTAGGCAATAAAAACAATGCTAGTCTATAAGCTGGTATATTTTTGTTTTTTGGCAATAGATTGTTTTAGAATCTAATAAAGAAAAATATGCGATACCGACCAACCATCTCCATTATTGGAACAGCCTTTCCGATATTTTTCAATTCTCTTTTCTCTATATATAAACTAAAATAAATAAAGAGCATTCAGGAAAACTAGCAAAGCTTTTGTTGGCATATGCTGCATCCCAGTTGTTTTCTTGCGGTTTATTTTATTTTGTTTCATTTTATTTATATTTTTTGATTTCGTAAGCTTATATTTTTGTTCAGTAATGTAGAATATCGGCCAGTAAAGGGACGAATTATGAATATATTAATGGATATGTATTTAAAATAGGATTTGCATAATATTATCAATGTATATTTATTTAAAAAAAAGGATTTCTAATACCTAATTAAAAAAACTTGTTTGAAATTCTAGTATCTTTGGTAGTATCCAAAATTAGACTAAAAATAAATTTGAAGAAATGGTTGGTAAGGTAGGGTTGTCTATTGGGTAGGCTAGATTATTGAGTAAATGACCTTTTTTATATTTATATATTTGTTCAGAGAGAAGAATATACAGGGTGACCCATCGTAAACGTTCCGCAAGGCATAACGGTCAGGGTAATTTTTTTTTCAGAAAATCCAAAAACACTTCAATTTTGTTTGTGAGGGGGACAACTTTTGCCCCAAAAATGATTGCAAAATCTTCAACCCTCTAACGGGGGTGTCATCCCCCAACTTTTTTCATATGGGACGGGGGGTCAAGTGGTGCCGCAATGAAAAGAACTTTCTATTCTCTATATTTCCCCGCTTCGATTTTGAAAATCGGTAGAGTCATTGAGAAAATATGAAGGATTGAAATTTGAAAAGTTTATTTAAACATTTATCAGAGTAATAAATATAAACATAGATAAATTTCTTCGACCAATTTGTTGTTTTTTCTTATTATTTCTAGATGTTTACGCATTTTTTCACTTGCCACAAGGTTGAACGATCAGGTGCGGTAGTGGCTAGATAGCTGTTCTGTGACTTGTGCGTTCAAGTTCTTCTCAATATCGTTAAACTTTTTAACAATTATGGTGTACTCACTTGCAGAAAAAGTGGAAATAATCGAACTTTATTTTAAAAATAATGAATGTGGCAATCAGTTTGCGCAGATATTCAATGAACGCCATCCTGACAAACACCTTTATGGCAAAATTGTTCGCGAGTTAGTAGCAAAATTTCGCGAAACTGGTTCCGTTATGAATAAAAAGAGGCAGAAGGAAAATTATGTAGTAAATGAAGTTATGGAGGTATTCGTATTGGGCCAAGTTGCCATGGATAGTACGCTGAGTATCTACAAGAAAATTAGCCAATGAGACCGGCGTGAATCGTACAAGTGTCCAAGGGATATTAAAAAAAACACAAGTTCCACCGGTAAAAAATTTATTTGGTACAAGAACTCAACGAAGACGATTTTGATCGTCTCGGGCTGGTATTTTTGGAAATTCTATTGTGGGTTTTTAACGATATTGAGACCGCACCTGATCGTTCAACCTTGTGGCAAGTGAAAAAATGCGTAAACATAAGAAAACACAGCAAATTGGTCGAAGGAATTTATGCTTATCATTTACTCTGATAAATGTTTAAATAAACTTTTCAAATTTCAATAGTAGTGAGTTTATGGGGTATCTCCTCCGAGAGAGGAGGTTACCCCATATTCAGAGGAGGAGGTTATAAACAAACAAGAAGAAAGAGCAGGAATTCATAAATTAAGAGGAGGTGGTGGATCTTTTTCGGTATTGGTATGAACTTTTCGCTTATAGAGATGAGTGAATAAAAACAAAAATATATTAATATCGATATATTATTAACATTTACAAATATCGAGCATATTCTTAGGCAGGGAGGGAGGGAAAGAGAAACAGACAGAGACAGAGACAGACAGACAGACAGACAGACAGAGACAGACAGAGACAGAGACAGAGAGAGATATAGACAGAGAGAGAGAGAGAGAGAGATTCACGCTTATCCCCACTTACTTTCACCCCCACCATATCAATGTCCAGTCATATATAGTAAAAACATCCAGTAGTAAGTATTAGGTCAGAATGACGGAAGAAAATCATTTACTCTCTCAACAGACCAGTTTTACTGTTCAACATCAATCTATACTTAGTGTATTACAATCTCCTCCTAGGGAAGAAGAAGAATCTATAACCTGCGAACAAGATACAAAAGAAAATATAGAGGAAATTAAGCGGTTGTTTTGTGCAATTTGTCACGACATGGTTGATTGCTACGAAACTTGTGTGCCAAATACTTGTTCCCATTTTTTTTGTTTAAACTGTATATTAACATGGAACGATGTACGTTATGATTCAAAAATGACAACTAAGTGTCCACTATGTGGTTCATATTATAAATATTTAGTGCAGTTTCGAAAAGATATAATTAGATATTACTTTGTCCAGAGTATAAAAAGGATATTAAAATAAATGTGACCATAAATATTTGCAGTTTTATTTCATATCATGTAAAAGTTGGATGTAACAGTAATGTAAAAATTGATTTGACAATAAATATTATTTAAAAAATAAGTTCTAGAGATTTTATCCAATGTTCCCATCAAACACTTCATTTAATTCTAAACACACACACAAGCAAACAACAACACAACCAGTTTAATAAAACATTTTATCGATATTTCAAATCATTGCTCATCTCTAATATAAAATTTAAAAAATAAAACCAGTATCACAGGTTCAACGATCTCAGAGAGAACCGAGAACAAGATACCTGCAGATATAATCTCAGATCGACCTCGCCTCCATCGACCAGTTACTTTGTGTGGTTCTTAGGTGTGGTTTGGCTTGCGAAAGACAAAAACGATACTTAAATTTCGCGTCCATTACAATTAAGTTTTGGTAAACATTATCTGTGTCAGTTAAAGTTAATATATATTATAGATTTGGTAAGTTATAGTTTTATACCTATTCATCTAATAGAATTAAGACTTTTTTATTCAAAAACTTGTCCAGTTTTTAGTTATATTTTACACTTAAAATAAAAATAACATTCTTCAAATTTAACTCGTTATAAACATTATACAATATAAACAAAATAGTAACAACAGTAAAAACACAGAAAAAACACACAGAAAACACGCACAGAAAAAACACAACCAACAACCAAACAGTAACTACAATAAAATTAAAAGAGACAAAATATACCAACAAACAGATAAACCGCAAAACAGACAACAAACACACTAACGAAACTGTCTGTCTAAATAATTTAATTCACATAAATAGTAAATTATAACCAACAATAAAAATAAACAAACAGATAAACCACAAAACAGACAACAAACACACTAACAAAACTGTCTGTCTAAATTTAATTCACATATATAGTAAAAAAAAAATACAACAAACAACAGTAAAATTAAAATATAAAAACTACAATAACAAACACATAAACCACAAAACAGACCACCAAAAACGCTCTACACAACAACAATAAAATTAAAATAGACAAAAATACTAACAAACAGATAAACCGCAAAACACACAACCAAAAACGCTAAAAACTGTCTGTCTAAATTTAATTCACATATATAGTAAATTATAACCAACAATAAAAATAAACAAACACATAAACCGCAAAACAGACAACCAAAAACGCTAACAAACTGACTACTCAATATGACATAAATTTCTATTCCAAATTTCTTTCATTATCAGATCATCAAAGATGCAACATAATAGTATCTTAATAAAGTCAGTTAAAATAAATAATTCTTTTATAGGACTGAAATATCAACATGTTCAATTGCACATCTTGTAGTAAATCTTTTAGTCGTAAAGATAACTTATTACGTCATATGAGGACTGCCTGTAGCAAGTCAAGATTTTTCAATCAAAGGGTTGCAAAGTCTACTGTGAATGAAAAAAAAGGTAAGACATTTTCTCACTAGTTTACAATTTTAGTCTTATAAATATTTCCTTTTACAGAGAGATTTTGTAAAGATTGTAATGTGCCAGTTTTGTCAAATATGTGGGTAGGACATTTACTATCCAACTTTCACAAAAACAATTCTAAAATGATAGAAGATAAAGGAGTTCAAATTATTAAGTCGGCGTTTAAGGAACGAATAGTGTCATACAGAATTACTACAGAAAAAAATATTCTAGATGTCAAACAATATTTTCAACATTTGGAATCAAAAATTCAATGCATATTAGACTATCAGCTGAATAAACATACATGTATTAAAATTAATATGGAACTTTTTGGCTACTATTATAACCCCACTAGTGAAAATTATGATGTTAAATCATTTAATACACCTTTCAATGTAATTTGCAAAGGCACCGAAACGAAAGACTTAATGGAAAAACTTATAATAATTATTGATAAAAAAGCTGACGAATTTGCAGAAAGGGATTCTGGTAAGTTATATTCATAGTCAATAGGCAAGAATTATTTTATTGCTATTTTTTTTTTTTTTTTTTTTTTTTTTTTAGGATGGGCTCTACTTAATCTTCTTTACTTGGAGATTAATATAAATAAATTCAATCCTCTGAAGGCATCCTCATTCATTGAACTTCCAGTTGAAATTTCAAGACGCAACGCTGTTGTTAACATAAGAAATAATGATGACTACTGTTTTGCATGGTCAGTAGTAGCAGCTCTTCACATTCCAACAGGACCTAATTTTGACATATCATCATACCCGCACTATTCAACAGTTTTAAACATCACAGGTATTGATTTCCCTATGTCATTAAAAGACATAAAAAAATTTGAGAATCAAAACAATATTTCTATTAATGTTTACGGTTTAGAAAAGTATTTTGATAAAATTTCTAATAATCAGAAATATGAAGTAATTGGACCTCTATATTATTCATGTGATAAGAAAGAGAAACATATTAATTTGCTTTTGATAAATGATGATGACGATAATTTTCATTATTGTTACATTGCTGATTTTTCTAGACTAATTTCCACTCAATTGAGCAAACATCACGGAAAAAAACATTTATGTGATGGTTGTCTTCAATACTATCAAACAGAACAAAAATTACAATATCATAGTAAGCATGATTGTGATCATGTTAGAATTAACTTACCTTCGAAAGATCCAGTGACAGATAAGTATGGAAATGAAATCTATGAAAATAAATTAAAATACATAAATTATCATAAACAAATGGAAGTTCCTTTTATAGTGTATGCGGATTTTGAATGCATTTTAAAACCTTTAAATAATGGAAATATTGATGAAAATCCAAATAGTTCTTATACCTTAAAAAAATTTGAACATATTCCTTATTCTTTTGCTTATTATATCAAATGCTCGTTTGATGATGCATTCTCGAAATTTGAAAGATATAGAGGTTTTAACTGTGAAAAAGTTTTTATAAATTTGTTAGAACAAGATGTATTAAATTTGTATCATACATTTTTAAAAAATCCTAAAAAAATGAATAGTTTGACGGAATTAGAAAAAATTAAACACAACTATGCCACAGACTGTCATATTTGTGATAAACCACTTTTAAGTGATAAAGTTGCCGACCACTGTCACATTACTGGAAACTATAGAGGACCAGCTCATTCTTTATGTAACATAAAATATAAAACTCCTAATTATATTCCAGTTGTCATGCACAACTTACGTAATTACGACTGCCACCTATTTATCAAAAACCTATGTTTAAATAAAGAGGAATTAACAGTAATTGCACATAACAAAGAAAAATACATATCTTTTGAAAAATCTATCCCCGTAGATTGTTACGTTGACAAACATATCAGTATTATTAAGCGAAAGAAATTGTCCTTGAGATTTATTGACTCATTTCAGTTTCTATCATTTTCTTTATCAAAACTCTCAGATACCCTGAAAGATGAACAATGTGTAGAAATAAAAAAATTTTTCGATGATGATAAAAAATTTCAGCTTATTCGTCAGAAAGGTGTGTTTCCCTATAGTTATATTGATTGTTTTGAAAAACTAGATGATACATATTTGCCAGAAAAAGATAAATTTTACAATAACATAACAGATGAGCACATTTCTGATGAAGAATATGAAAGAGCCCAAACAGTATGGAATTTATTTGAGTGCGAATGTATAGGTCATTATTCAGATATATATTTACTATCAGACACTTTACTTTTAGCAGATATTTTTGAAAATTTCCGTAAAACTTGTTTATCTACATACAAACTAGACCCTGCACACTTTTATACTTTTCCCGGGTTAAGCTGGGAAGCTAGTTTACGATATACAGGCATAGAATTGGAATTATTAACTGATCCGGATATGTTGCATTTTTTCAAAAATAGCGTTCGTGGTGGGGTTAGTTCTTGTATAACAAGAAAATCTGAAGCAAATAATCCTTTTCTTTCAAGCTACGATGCATCAAAACCACATAAATACATAATGTACTATGATGCAACAAATTTATACGGTTTTGCAATGTCACAGTATCTACCAACAGGGGATTTTAAGTGGTTAACAGAAAAAGAAATAGAAAATTTAGATATTTTTTCTATTTCTAACACTTCTGAAAAAGGATTTGTGCTAGAAGTTGATTTAGAATATCCTGAAAATCTCCATGACCATCACAATGATTTTCCTTTTTGTCCTGAGAACTATAAACCACCCAATTCAAATTCCACAAAATTAATACCTAATTTAAATAGCAAATCCAAATATGTTATTCATTACCAGTTATTACAACAATGTCTACAAAATGGACTTAAGTTAACTAAAATACATAGAGTTTTACAATTTTCGCAATCTGCTTGGTTGAAAAAATTTATAGATTTAAATACAACATTACGTAATGAGTCTAGAAATGAATTTGACCGTCACACGTTTAAATTAGCAAATAACAGTATATACGGAAAAACAATGGAAAATGTGGATAGGAGAGTTGATGTAAGACTTGTTACAGAATGGGAAAAAAATAAACAAAAAGATGGTGCTGAAAATTTGATTGCAAAACCATATTTCAAAGATTTGACTATTTTCTCAGAAAATTTGGTGGCTATTCAAATGCAGAAAGTATCAATCACTTATAATAAACCAATATATGTTGGATTTTGCGTTTTAGATATATCTAAAACTGTTATGTACGATTTCTTTTACAACTTTTTAAAACCTCTATATAAAGAAAATGTTTCTCTTCTGTATACAGACACTGATTCTTTTATTCTTGAAATCGAAACAAACAATGTTTATTGTGATATGCAAAAGAATATTCATAAATTTGATACATCCAATTATTTACCTAATAATATGCATAATATGCCAATAACACAATCAGTTGTTGGTAAATTTAAAGATGAATATGCTGGTGAACCTATTACAACATTCTACGGTACGGGAGCAAAAGCATATTGCATAAAAACTGAAAATAGTCTCTTAAAAAAAGCTAAAGGTATTAAGAAACCTACTATTAAAAATCAGTTAGACTTTATCCACTACAAAGATGTTGTAGAAAATAACTCTAAAAAATTTTGCTCTATGTATGTGTTTCGTTCTCGACTACATACAATTTTTACCGAGTTGGTAAATAAAATCGCGCTAAGTTCAGAAGATACGAAGCGATATAAAATTCCACATGATTATAAAACACTCGCTTGGGGTCACCAGGATATTCCATTTTACCAGTGGAGCGCTGATCATCCCGATTTAGATGTATTTTTATAATTAATATTATATCAAACATATTGTTAATATTATATTAGTAGTTTAATCACATATTTTTTTTAATAAATTATTATTATATATGTTTTATATAGGTATATAAAAAATGGATATACATGTAATTAAGATTACATAGTTGTAAATTTTAGTAATCAATTATTTTAGTCCACCACATATTTTATATTTCACTTGCTAATGTTCTCAAATAAATATACTTATATTAAGTATGTTTTTAAATTATTTTATTTTCTATTGATCGTTCATAAGATGTGTTTGGAAAGCTTTGATAAATATATCGATAATGTTGCTTATAAAACATATGATACAAGGCTTTCTACCTTTAAAAAATGGAAAGGTAGATTAAAACCTGAGATATTAGCTGGAGCAGGATTTTACTCTATTTCATATAATGATGTTTGTAAATGTTACTATTGTGGAGTAGAAATTTATGATTGGATCCATGATGATTGTCCTATCGAAGAACATTATAAATTTGCACCAACATGTAACTTAAATGAATGCTTATTGCTAAACAAAAATAAAAATTGCAAAAACAAAAATATTTCGAAATGTAAAAATTTATTGATTTTAGTATTAATTTACCTCTGTTTTCAATATATATTTGTTATAGCAAAATGTATTTATATTAGTTTATAATATAAAAAAGTTTCAAATGTTATTGGGCTATCCTCTTGAATAGATGTAAATTTTGAATAAATAAATTGATACAGTATTTACTTTGTTTTAATGGCTTCTCAAACCCATTTTATACTCCTTTATTTCATTTTTCAAAACATTATTTATGTTCATTACCCTCCTAATGTAACACGATGTGAAATATGTTTCTCTAATAAGACAAATATAACCCTTGATAAAAATTGCCAATTTATGAAAGTTGGTTTAATTAATAATAATACAATTAGTTTTATGTATCACATAAACAAAGGAGAAAATGCTAGTAGGTTTTTTAAAGTTTTATATCATTATTCAAACCAAACCATTTTTGATACTAATTGGATTGAAAGATCCGAATTAAAATATACACATTTTCAAAATGAATCATTCAACTATACTAAATTTATTAATGAAAAAAATAATGGATATAACACTTTTAATATCGTTAATCTCTTTTTAACGTTTACAATATTTTTGTATATCACAATTTTAATTATCTTTTTTTATTATAAATTTCAAACAGGAAATTTATACTTTCAATAATCAATTTCATTTAAAACATTGTTGTGAATAGACAATAAGCAATGCACATAAGTTGATCGATATGAATAGGTGGGGATATAAAATGGTAGGGGTTTGAATATTAAAGTAAGAGAAGAACTTAATATCATTTAGTTCATTCACCATGTCTTCTAAAAATTTTGAAAATCTTTTAAATTCAAAAATTTTCTTTTTGAATAAATCTTCGTCAAAGTTTGTTATTGTTGGTATAAGTAATCAAGATTTATCCCCGAAAATTATAATCGGTGGAAAAAATGGTGTCTCTATAATTTTAAGTGAAGAAAATTGGAATAGTTTTTGCAATCATCGGGGAGTTATTGAAAACTACTTCTGCTTTCCCCAGCAAATTAACGATCCCATGTTGAATATAGACAACTTTAAATTATATTTTGAGAAAGTCAACAGTCTTCCTGTTATAAAAATTAAAGAAGAATATTCGAGATACGTATATTTAGGATACGAGTCTATAGAAACATTATGGCGATTAAAGGAAGTTGTGGATTACAGGATTTCTATTATAAAGAAACAAGAATTTTCACTTTTCTTTAAAGTGTTCCAAACCAGCATTTCAAGTCAGGAAGATGATCATATTGATAATATTTATCGTATTTTACAACCAAATCAAAATCCAAACAGTGAAAATGTGTCAACAATGTTGGAGTTTCTAACACTCTATCCTGAAGAACTGGAAACCAGGTTAAAGAGAAATGGACTTAAAAGAAAATATTATGAAGAAATCGGTGACTTTTCAGGAAGAGAAAAATAAACTTTATGTGTTAGTGCAGTGGAATTTTGCTTATAAACAAGCACGAAAAAGTGAATTTAGAACTTATTATTTAGATAGACTTCGTTTTGAAAAACGAATTAATAATTGTAAGCTTATTCTTGATCCAATACTAAGCAAAGAACACAGAACTAAAATGTATTTAACACGATTTGCTAATACTTATATTTAACCAAATATTAAATAAAACTATATTATATCAATTAGTGCTTTATTTTATTTTAAGTTACATAAAACAACTATACAACATCATTTTTATTAATCCATGTATTAAATTTTTTATCTAATCCTAACCATTTTACATAAACTTTGTTTCCTTTTCTTCTTAGAATTTTTTCAACGAGATATACATCAAAGTGTTTTGCTTTCTGTAACTCCTGTTCATAAAATCCACCCTGAATTTCCTCATTTCTTTCATCTTCAATTATATATGTTCTGGGATTTGTCATCTTAACTTTTTTAATTCTAAATATTTCATTTGACCAATTTGGAGTGTAACCTTTGGAAAACGCCTCACGATACTTGCTTATACGCACATGATCTCCAACTTTAAATTTAGCAAGTTTTGAATCTACTGTTTTAGCATGAGTAAAGATTGATCTTAAAATCTTCTTTTCATTTTGTTTATTTACTTGGTTTGGTTTCATTGCAATTGTTGAATGTTTGGTGTTGTTGTAATCCTTAACGATATCTTGTAAAATATTAAGCCATCTATAATTTCCTTGCAAACTAAACATTTTCCACATTCTGGTTTTTAATGTTCGGTTTACTCTTTCAACTACACTTGCTTTTAAATTGGAAAACGTACTATAATGATTAATTTTAAATCGTTCCATCAGTTTTTGGAAATGTTGGTTGAAAAATTCTGTACCCCTATCCGTTTGCAAATTTTGTGGGTTGGTTTTTAAAGTATGTAATATGGTTTTCATTGCTGCGGCAACATCCTTACCAGATTTTGTTTTTACAGGTTCTGCCCAAACATATTTTGAAAACACATTTATAACAACTAAATATATCTATAACCCTGTTAAATTTGGAATATGGTTGCATTTCTACTAGATCTGCCTGTAAAGATCATTTAGTCCTTTTAACAATTACCCTTCTTCGCATAAATTTTTTTCTAGCAGGTTTATGTAACTCATTAACTACTTGTTCCTTAATGGTTGTCATACTTTTGAAATTTTACCAAAAGATATTTAGTTTTGATAGTAGTTGTCCACAAAGCTTTTATACATCTCTGTCCATTCTTTTAATTTTTGTATTTGTTCATCCTTATTAGTTTCAATCAAAATTTCATTAATTTTAATTATTTCTTTGACTAGGTTATCTAGATATTCTTTAACTGTTGTTAATAGAAAATCTTTTCTTTTATTTGCAGAATTTTCTACTTCCGTTTCTATTTTTGTTAGTTCTTCATGCAATATTTTAGAGATAGTATATATATTTTGTGAAAGATTTTCTATATATTGTCTAATCTCTAAAGATACAACAGATAATTTTTTACCATTAAGAGTATCCTTTATAAGTTTACTCTTAGATGAAACAATATTATCAATATCATTTCTTAGATGTTTAATTCTTTCTTTTTGATTTTTAATTATCACTTCTCTAATTTGAGTGTTCATGGTCTTATCAATTTCATCAATATCAGCATTAATTTTTGTATTTTCTTCTTTTACATACTCTTTCAACGATTCTAGACTTACATAAAGTTCATCCAATTTTAAATCGAACTTCTCTAAACTGGATTTTATTGTAGAAATTTCACTTTTACTTTTATTTCTATCTTCACTTTCCAAAATTTTTTCTGATTTTAATTTTGTAATTTCAGCTAATGTATTATTAAATTGCTGTCTTAGATCTTGTAGTTCTTCTATGTCTTTTTTATGGTTAACTATGTGCATATTTAATGCTGTCGCTGTAATTTTTTCAGTTCTGTCAATTTTATCATGAACATCCTTAAAATAAGCTACTTCTTGATTAACTCTTTCGTAAACTTTGTTTGCGAAATCTTCAAATTTTGTTTTAATATCATTTTGAAGATTTCTTTTGATTGATTCAATTTCTGTTTTTAAATTATTAATTGTTTTTATATTATCATTAAATTGTACAATTTTATCTTCATGTTTTGTAATTTTATCATCAAAAAACTTAATTTTCTTTGCAAAATTACTATTGTTTGATTCATTTTCACTTAATCTTTTATTTGTGTTGTCTATACTACCTTGAAAATGTTCAATTACTTTATTTTCAATATAGTTTACATCTGTCTTAAACCTATTTAAAATTTTATTTTCAACATTTGATAAGACTGTATCTTCCAAGGTTGTTGTATTTACAGTGTTACGTTTAGAAATATGACAACCAAATTTATCAACAGACATGATTTGATATTGGTCAACAATTGATTTGTTTATAACTAGCAATTCTTATTTATAGTATAACTTTAGCCTCCCTTAATTCCTCAATTATAGATAATATTTCATTGTTGTGGGCTGTATTGCCAGCATCTGTAGATGCTAGTAAAAGACGAAGTCGATCCACAAGTTCATTTATATTATCCCAATACACATAATCTGTATTTGATTTATTTATTTTTAAAGTTAAACCTTTCCCTTTCTGAACAGCAGTCGTTCTACTAGTTCTAAATGGTGCTTTCGGTTTAGCAAAAGCTTCAGACAACCTTTCCAATGGTGTTATTGTTTTAGTTTTTGTAATACCCTTTCGTTGCAAGTAAGGTCCAATTATTGTTACATATTTATGTGAACTATTTCCTTGCACTTGCTCGTTGGGATCAAAATTTCTACGATATGCATTAGTTCTTTTTAATATGTCCATATAATTTTCTAAATCTTCATTTTATATCCAACAGGTTATTTTTAAAAAGTAATTCATATAAACCAACCGTTCCGGGATATTTTATACCTTCCACATGAATATTTTTACCAATTATTTCCACAGGTTTTTGTGTTAAACCCAAAAAAAATTTATCTCTTTCGAGATCATGCACTATTCCATAATTATGATCAAACTTAGACTTTGTATCTTTCACACCTTCATCTATATATGTTCTTGGTAATTCATGGAAAGCATTCAACCAATCATCATATCCCGAAGTCCCAACATATGTTTGAATAGTTTGTCTTGTCTCTTCTAATATATCTGATAAATTTCTACTTTCTGAATGGTTAAATTGTGAAGGAAATGTTTCTGCAATAATACTTGTTTCTTGTATATTGGGAATCTGACTTATAGATTCTGTTGATCTGTTAAAAAATGATGGAGTTTCAGGTGGTAATATAGGAATTTTGCCAGTTTTCGGAGTTATTTTAACTTTTGTAGGTGTTGAAGTTTTAAAATATTCTTCTTGTAAGTCCACAGGTTCTTCTTTTATGTGTAAATGTTCCGATTTTCCAATAGCTGAGACTAGTTCTTGTAGAGGTTGTGTTATTGGTTTATAAGTCTGTTCTAACTCTGCTTGTGTTGTAGATGCTGCTGATTTTAGCATATGATACTTTTCTTTTACTGCTTGTCTTGACTTTATCAACTCTTTAGCTAAACGTTTATCCATGTTAGATAATTTTTAAATGAGGAAAAACCACAAAACTCGTCTTATATATAAATATAGAGTCAAATTTATTTCTATATCTACCATTATTTAATTGACAATCTTTATCAATTACAAGAAAACCATAGGGTTCCCTCCAACATTTAGCACAAATATTTTTAAACTGATCAAATGTCATATCTATCATACAATGATCATTATATATATGTTTTAAACTTGAAGAATCTTGTTTAAACAAAATCAATAAATTTGAATTTTCACGAATTAGTTGTTTAAGAATAGAAGAGTAGCCCTGAAATATGAAAAAACAATCTGTGTTTGTATGTCTACCATGTGTAAAATAATCTCGAATAATTGATTGATTGTGACAAGGAATATCGTCGAAGATAATAACAGAATTTGGTTTTATTTTATGAGGTGAAATAACATTTTCATCATTATCATATTCAAAATAACCAATTTCTTTCATAGGTTCTAAAAGTTGTCTTAAATATTTATATTTCGGTTGATCTAATGATTTTGAATATATATAAACATTTTCGAATCTAATACCATTAGGATGTTCAAGCAATGTTAGCATAACATTAGTTTTACCACTTCCACTACAACCAACAATTAATCCTCTTTTCGAACCACCACCAAACAAAGCACCATGTTTCCTAAATTGTTTGTGTGAAACTTTTTCATCATGGTTCTTAATAGGTAAAGAGAATTTTTGTTTTTCGATCTTCATTTTTAAAATTACTAATATATTCCATTGTGTGTAAAAGTATTTATACCCTAGCAGCAATAGTTTATTTTTAGTATTTAAATACGTTTTAATGATTGTACATCACTCCAGTGAGAACAAAACTATAAATAGGAGACGAAAAAAAGGTTTTGGTTTAGTAAACAAATTAATTACCAACCTTCCCTTCGAATTTCACATACCAGGATATAACTACTGTGGACCGGGTACAAAATTGGAGAAGAGAATAGCCAGAGGGGATATTGGTATAAATCCATTGGATGCTGCTTGTAAACAGCATGATATAGCATACTCTCAATCTGAAGATTTATTAAAAAGACACGCATCTGATAAACTGTTAGGAGATCAGGCTTGGAATAGAGTAAAAGCTAAGGATTCTTCAATCGGTGAAAAAGTAGCTGCATTAACTGTTGCTGCCATAATGAAGGGAAAACGAAAGCTTGGAATGGGTATAAAAAAGAAAAAGGATAAAAAAAGTGGAAAGCTTAACATGAAGAAAAAACGTATAATTCGAACACCTGAAAAAATTGGGGGATTTTTACCACTTTTGCTCCCAATATTGGGAGCGTTAGGTGCACTAGGTGGAGGTGCTGCAGGAATTGCCAAAGCAGTCAATGATGCTAAAGCATCTAAACAGCAGTTAGAAGAAATGCATAGACATAATATTGCAATGGAGGATGTTTCTAAGGGAAAGGGATTATTTATTAAACCGTATAAGGGAAAAGGACTTTTTATAAAACCGTATAAAGGTGGTAAACTTGGTATAAAAAAAAAGACCAAAAGATTAACATAAGTTTTCCACGTAGACCGCTTACAAATATTGACATTATTAAGTATGTAAAGGTAATGAAAATTCCTAATTTCAGAGGTGTATTTATGCTTGATGAACTTCCAAATACAATATCTTTAAAAGAGTGTGGTGTTGTTAATTTAGACAGGAAGCAAAATAAAGGAACACATTGGACTTCATACATTAAAAATGATAATCATGTTGTATACTTTGATAGTTATGGAAATTTAAAACCACCTCTTGAACTTTCAAAATATTTTAATTCAAATGGTGAAGTGAAAATATTTTACACATATGAAAATAAACAAAAAAATAATTCATACAACTGCGGACAACTTTCTCTAAAATTCTTAAAAAATAATATATAAGCTAACAACATGTAATAAAATAGCATTTACACAATGTCTACAACAATAGCAATATCAGGAAACAGTTCAGTTTTATCAGCTGATTTCAATCCACCTATATATTTGGATGATGAGAAACAATATTACTTAGGTTTAGCAGATTTTGAAACTTTTATGACTATACCCAATATAGAAAAGGGTCACAATAAACTTTATATAGGTGATAAAGTGATTGTTATTCCAGATGGAACTTATGATATAATTGATATAGAAACCTATATAAAAGACAAAGTTAAAACTGTGTTTGAATATGAAAACGTTGCTTTTTTATTAAAACCTAATACTAATACCCTGAAATGTACCTTAATGTGTAGCAAACAAATTGATTTTACAAAAGATGATTCAATAGGAAAAATACTAGGTTTTAAAAGTAGAATCATAGAAGCGGATAAAGTAGATCAATCAGATAATGTTGCTAATATAAGTAAAGTCAACGCTATTTCATTGATTGTAATATCTGTGTTTGGTTCATTTAGTAACGGAAAACCTGTTCATATTATTCACCAATTTTATCCTGCTGTAGCTCCAGGGTATAAAATAGTTGAATCTCCTTTACCCATATTATATTTTCCAGTCAGCGTTAAAGCAATTAACAACATTACAGTAAAAATTGTTGATCAAGACGGAGATCTTATCAGTTTCAGAGGTGAGACTATTACAGTAAGATTACATTTAAAAACAAACGGTTTATAAAATGGTTGTTAGATATAATAGAGGTAATATAAATTATTCTCCAGTTATTATTCCTAAAAAAATCAAAACTTATAAAAAGAAACTGACACAAAAATTATTCAGTGTCAAATCCAACACCAATCGATTAACACGAAAAAATCATAATTTTCTAAAATCGCTAGGTTTTAAAGTCTTAATATAATGAGCATATTAAATGTAAACGAAAAGTTATATATTGATAACTCTATTGTTAGTTCAGAATTACATACCTATCAACCATACATTTCTTCAAAATTTGATTATAATGATGAAATACGTATACCAATCCAAGAACTTGATGCTTACACTCTACCATCAGAAAGCCTACTTTATATCGAAGGAAAGTTAACAAACACAGAGGGAAATTATACAAAGAGATTGCGATTTACAAACAATGGTATAGCTTTCTTATTTAGAGAAATTCGTTATGAGTTAAATGGTATTACTATTGTACCTTAAGAAATGTAGGACTAGCATCAACATTAAAAAGTTATCTATCCAGTAACACAAATGAAAGTTTAAAACTGCAAAATGCAGGTTGGTTTCCACACAGAAAAGAAGAGGATAGAATTTTAGTTGATGATAATGGAAAATTCTCCGTATCTATACCACTAAAACTGCTAATGGGATTCTTTGAAGATTACAGAAAAATTATAATTAACATGAAACAAGAGTTGGTTCTTATTAGATCTAATAATGACTTAGATGGAGTTTTCTTTAAGGATGATGTAACAACTCCATCTACAACTGTAGAAACCCCAAAAGTTACTTTCGATAAAATCTATTGGAAAGTACCACATATTTCAGTTGATATACCACAACAACTAGCACTCACTAGAATACTGGAGTCAAATAAAGATATACTAATTGGATTTAGAAGTTGGGAACTTGTTGAATACTCTTCCCTAACTGAAACAACACGACACACATGGCCTGTAAAAACAACTAGCAAACTGGAAGCTCCCCGTCATGTAATAATTGCCTTTCAAGAAAATCGAAAAGGAGATGTTAAAAAAGATATGAGTCAATTTGACAATGTAGATTTAACAAATATTAGAATATTTTTAAATTCCGAAAGGTATCCTTATCATGACTTATATTTAAATTTCAAAGAGAACAAATATTCATCTTTATATGAAATGTTTGCCAATTTTCGTTATTCTTATTATGGTACTTCTAATGAACCCATTTTTAATCCTGAGAAATTCAAGGAGATTTCACCAATTGCATATATTGATTGTTCTCATCAAAAGGAAACGCTTCAAACGGGTTCTGTTGTAATGAGAATTGAGTTTGAAACAAACAGTGCAATCAAAAAAGACACATCTGCTTATTGTCTTATTTTACATGATAAATTATTTAGTTACAATCCTTTAACAAAGATTGTCAAACAATTATAAACTTTTACCCCCACCCTCATAGATTTAATATAAATAAGTAAACATAGTGTCTGTAGTAGTAGATATGTCATCAACACTTCAACTAGAAATACAAAATTTTATTTTTAAAATACAAAAATTGAAAGAACAAATTGCAAACTACTCAAGACAAAAAAGTTTAATTAAAAAGTTTAGTGAACTAAAAATATGAGGTTGATTGTGGATATACAAGGATTTAAAGATGAGAAAAACACCTTTTTACCTAAAGAACTTGCAGCTTTTGATGGACATAGAATATCACATTATATCTTTAAGAAACCCTATCCATTAGACTTTCTGTCACCAGAATGTCACAGACAGGCGGTATGGTTAATGAAAAACCATCATTGTATCAACTGGAATGATGGATTTACACCTCACCATTATTTTTCAAATATAATTGAAAAACTTATTGAAGAAGCTGAAGTGGAATTTGTTTATGTTAAAGGAGCTGAAAAAGCAGAATTTGTAAAGAAATATTCCAAAAAAACAGTAATTGAAATAGATGAACAACCAGCTTTGCCTATCGGAACACCAAAATGCTTTTATCATTCTAAGTCAACTTGTATGTGTGCCTGTCAAATGTTTTATATTTGTATTATAATTTTTTTATGAATGAATAAAAATCTATATAATATTTATTACATCTTTTATTATTAAAATATAATTTTATACTAAATTAATACTTCTACATCAACTAAATTATTAGATGAATTATCCTGGTTAACTAAATTGCTATTTATGTTAGTGTTTACATCATCTGTTACTTGATTGTGGAATTCCCCACTCTTAACAAATTTATTTAAATATGTTATTTGATTTATAAATCCTAAGTCTATCATTACAGAGAATAATTCTAATATATTATCATTTTCATAATATTGTGCACAAGCATGCATACCTCTTTCATATTTAAGAATCACATCATAATATATTTTTTCCATCTGTCTAAGTTTTTGATAAGTTTCATGAAATGATTTATAAAATTCTTGATGAATACATATTACTGCACTAATAAGTTCAATATTCTCACTTGACATTTTTCACTTTAAAACAGAATATAGTTTTTTAAATATTTTGGAGTATGATATTGACGAAGAGGTCTATGTTTTCTTGATACTGTGCTTCCAACTTCTAAGGGTTGTGATAACTTGCCCTTAAATCTTCGCAATAACTGATCTCTAGCATCATCCAAGTGGAACCTCTCGAACACCTTTAAAATTTCTATTATAACTTTGGAATTCTTCGTTAGTCTCAGGTATGGAACAATGTGTGTTAGTTCACTTGCAAAATATGTTTGACCAAATGCGCGCACAAATTCAAAAAGATTAAGCCGTTTTAGTAAATAATCAGCACAGAACTCAACTATCCGATGGCAGTCTTCTTTCAATGGATAAAATAAATCTTTTTGATTAATTAAAATTACTTGGCTGCTAATCGTTTGATGGAAATAGGTATACTTTCGAATTAACAATCTAACAACATTAGCTAGTTTTTTCTTATTGTGCATTACTCTTGATATGTAGAAGAGATTCACTTTTATAATACGAAATTTTACTATATGACTAGACACTAATATAGTGAGAGCAAGTGTAAGTGGGGATAAGCAAGCATAATAAAGCTCTTTCTTTCTCTGTCTGTCTGTCTGTGTGTCTGTCTGTCTCTGTCTGTCTGTCTGTCTGTCTCTGTCTGTCTGTCTGTCTCTGTCTGTCTGTCTGTCTGTCTGTCTGTCTCTGTCTGTCTCTGTCTGTCTCTGTCTCTGTCTGTTTCTCTTTCCCTCCCTCCCTGCCTAAGAATATGCTCGATATTTGTAAATGTTAATAATATATCGATATTAATATATTTTTGTTTTTATTCACTCATCTCTATAAGCGAAAAGTTCATACCAATACCGAAAAAGATCCACCACCTCCTCTTAATTTATGAATTCCTGCTCTTTCTTCTTGTTTGTTTATAACCTCCTCCTCTGAATATGGGGTAACCTCCTCTCTCGGAGGAGATACCCCATAAACTCACTACTTTCAATCCTTCATATTTTCTCAATGACTTGACCGATTTTCAAAAACGAAGCGGGGAAATATAGAGAATAGAAAGCTCTTTGCATTGTGGTGCCACTTGACCCCCCTTTCCATTTCCAAAAAAGTTGGGGGATGACACCCCCGCTTAGAGGGTTGAAGATTTTGCAAACATTTTTAGGGCAAACGTTGTCCCCCTCACAAACAAAATTGACGTGTTTTTGAATTTTTTGGAAAACACGATGGGCCACCCTGTAGGTATATTATTGAGCTATTTAAAAAATAATATTTCTCTAGCAATAGGTTTTATTCTAAGTAAATCTGTATCATGACAAATATTCAATGTTTTATAGGTATCAGCCAAAAATCTGTCCTGCGAGAGGATTCATGACATCTGTCACTGTGACAGTCTGTCGTTTTAATACGCATGTAATAGAAACATGTTTTATTAGGAGTAAAAATGAGACTCATTTTGGTGACGCTGTACGTTTGACTTTACAGGCGAGGCACAAAGTACATTTTTACGCCGATTAGAACATGCTATTTTTTTTCAAACGTGACAAATAACTAATTTTTTAACAATTTTAAATGTCGAACACTCGTTGAATTTGACACTGACTTAATGTTAGTTTATAATATATATTTTTCCTTTTATGGTTAGGCATAAAAGTGCTTTACTTTTTTGGATTTTTCTGTTGAAATCTTCCCTGACAGACTATAGACTTTAATTGCCAAATTTTTAAAACTGTCATGGTAATGAAATTCTTGAAATCAAATTGTAATAATACCGTATAATCGAAAATAAACGGTGTCAGCGATGGCTACGAAATGAAAATCGCTGTCATTTTATATGTCAATTTATATGGGTAATATCATGGATCGTCATTTAACAGCCAACTGGACGCCGTTTTTTTCGATCCTACGTTATAACTATTATTTTTAAATTAGAATGTTTATGTATAGGTTCATATATATATAGTTCTAAGGCAAAATTTGATATTTTAAATAACATACATAAGGTTCAATTTGATGTAAGTAGTAACATACGATCGAAAAAAAACGGCGTCCAGTTGGCTGGGAAATGATGATCGATGACATTTCCCATATAAATTTACATATAAAATGACAGCAATCTTTATTTGATAGCCATCGGTGATGCCTTTTTTCTCGATCATACGGTATAGGAGAAAAAATATGAGAAATTAAAGTAATTTCCAACAATGTAATAATTTACTGGGTGTTTATATTTAAAATATTAAATAGTACCTATACCACTACTTTTTAAATGAAGCGACAACACTGTAGTGTATTTAAATATAGTTGAAAATGGTACTTTTATTCTATCTCTACCATCGAACCTTACTGTTCTGCTGTACAGTTTGTCCACGGAACAGTTGCCATTTTTAATTATAATAAATTGTTTTTCTGTAATTTTTAAAATAAAATCATCAGAAATGAAAAATATTTTCCCAGATTAACAATGAAAAGCACAGATACTATAATACTATAATAATAGATATATAATAGACAAGGGTCTACACTGAGTTGCACACTGTTCGGATTGGCTATCAATGAAATAGCCGACAACTTACATAGTAATGTAACTAAGTTTCTATACGTTGATGACTTGGCGATTGTCTGCTCAGGTAAAACAATTGGTGATATTGTACGTAAGATGCAGCCATCGATAAATTAAATTTGCAAACAAGCCAGATCAGTTGGTTTTACTTTCTCCGAGGAGAAAACAAGCTGTATGCATTTCTGTAGGCTTAGAAGACCTCATTATGACCCATTGCGGTACTTAGAAGAAACACCTATTAGATGTCCTAGAACTATAAAGTTTCTTGGCATAATATTTGACTCCACACATACATGGAAACAGCACATATTATCACTTAAACAAAAATGCATGAAATCCCTAGATATTCTTAAAGTTCTGTCTCACACAAAATGGGGTGCAGAACCAAAGATGCTTCTCACTTTATACCAGTCGCTAATTTTGTCACGAATTGATTATGGCTGTGTTGTCTATGGATCAGCCTACAAATCTAGCTTAAACATACTGAATGGTATTTACAATGCGGCCTTGAGGTACTGTTTGGGTGCATTCCCAACAAGCCCCGTTGATGGTTTGTATTGTGAAGTAAATATATCCTCTTTAGAAGATTGAAGAAAAATACGGTTGTCAAATTACATGACAAAAATGTTAGCCCTGGAGCAACATCCTCATAATAAAATATGTATGAGAGAGGCTGAAAACCATCCCTCCTTCAGTAGATCAGCTTTTGGGAGGTATAGGGAGTATCTGAGAATTAGAGAAGTAGACCAATCTCAATTATTACGCCTTGAGTCAAGTGAAATTCCTCCTTGGAAGTGTTCTCCGCCTGGTAGTAAATTTCGAATTGGCGCAATTTAAAAAAGGTTAAATTTCAAATAAACACTGGCAGCAGAGCTTCCTCGATATAAAGAATCGAGAGGATGTAGATTTCGTCATCTACACGGATGAATCCAAAACTAATGATGGCGTCGGATGCGCTTTCGCTACCGAGGACAAGATTTTTTTTGGACCTTAAGTAATATCTCCACAATTTATTATGCAGAGCAATATGCACTTTGGCAGGCTCTTCTTTTCCTTACCTTCTCGAATGGTCCCTCTAAATGTCTAATTGTTTGTGACTCAAAGAGCGTTTTAGAAAGTCTCTTAGATATATTTACTAAAGATCCTATGAGACAAAATATCCAAATATTGATTGATGATCTAACAAGGGAGGTTATAAACTTACATTATTGTGGGTTCCAAGCCATGTGGGAATAGCTGGTAACGAAAAAAGTGGATAATGCTGCACAGGAAGCCAGTTCAGAAGATGTAGTAGATGTTACAATGGTTAAACCTTCCGATTATCAAACTTATCTAAAATCTATTATTCTGAACGATTGGCAACAAAGGTGGCAAAATCTAAACAATAA